ATATTTTTATTATTTTTTTTTTTTTTTATTACGTTGTCTCTTTCTTTTATATCTTTTTTTTTTTTTTTTATTTTCAAATTTTTTATTGTTGTTTTTTTTTATTATTTGTATATTTATCTATTTAATAATAAAAATAATTACTCTATTTAAATTAACAAGTTATATTTATTTTCAATTTAATATTTTGAACTTAACTATGATTTAATATTATAGATCTATAATTAGAGTATATATACCCAAACACACATTATTAAAAAAAGGATTCATATACATATTTTTTTTATTTTGTTTTTATTTTTTATTTTTTTATTGTTTCAATTAAATATTATTATTAAAATGTCTACAAGTAAAAGCCGCTCCAATACAATATCAAATAATGGCAGTACAAGTAATACTGGTGCAACAACAAACAGTGGTGATACAAATAATAATGTAAATAATGACAATGAAGCCCAAGTTATAAATCATTGTTTTGAAAAATGCACATTAAATCACTATACAATATGCCATCACTGCAACAGACAAATATTAGGTATTAATAATGTTTCACACATTTGTGGTAGTAAGTATTAAATTTTTTATTTTTAGCTTTTTTTTTTTTTTTTTTTATTAAAAAAATTTTAAAATTAATTTTAATATTTAAAATATATCAGATTGTTCATTATACTTTCATTCAAGATGTGTTGATGAAATTAAAAAGAAAAAATTGGAGAATAAATGTTTAGGACCTCCAAAACAAAAAAAAGTTTGGAAAATTGCCTTGATTCCCAGTTTATTCAAGAGTATATTTTCAAAATCTTCATCAAGTATGTATATACAATTTTTATTAATATTGTAAAATATTTCAAAATTCTAATAAATTTTAATTTTAGGTGTTATATTGGGGTATGGACAACAATTAGTTGATGAAAATACATTTACAAGAGAAACAATTAAAATTTGGATAGATTTAATGAGAGTTGAAGATGACAAATATATATTTAATTCAAAATACTATGATATTTTTGAGTAACTATATTTTAAATAAATAATAAAATAATAATTATAAATAATACTAATTTTTTTTAATAGTAATTTAAAAATATCAGAAGAACTATTCGATTTTTTAATTAGTATGATTTTAGGCGATGATATAAATCCATCATTAATAAAGCTTGATTTTCCAGAAACCCTCAGTCCAAACTATTCAATTTTAAATCAAGAATTAAATAATGGTACTATTAATAATACTAATATCAACAACAACAACAATAACAATAATAATAATAATAGCAATAATAATAATAATAATAATAATAATAATAATAATAATAATAATAATAATAATAATAACAATACATTAGATATACCATTTTCACCAAAATCTTTATTTAGTTCATTAGAGTTATCAGCAAACTCTAGTGTATTAAATGGCTATGATATGTCAGATATTGAAAGAGATGACTACACAAATACAATTAATAGTAGTAGTTATAGTCAACATAAAGCAAATTTAGAAGCATTAAGATCAGTTAGCTACTATAGTAACTTTAGTAACTCGACCAAACTAACCAATACTTCAACTGGCAATGGTAATATCTCACCGAGATCCTCACCCCCATCGATTGGTACCAATACACCAACAACTACAACTACTACAGCAACTACAACAACCACAACTACTACAAAAAAGAATAGAAAGAACCAAAGCTTTAATAATGGTACCATTAATAGTACGAACTCCAATAACTCAATAAAAAGCGGTAGAGGAAAGAGTTCAAATAGAATGAAAACATTAAAAAGAGTTCCTACAATAATAATTAGTAAGAGAATCAAATCACAGAGGAATAGATTAAGCCGTGCCTACTTAATAAGTGATCAATATAAATGGTGTAGTCAAATGATAGCCCTAAATATTTTATATAGAGTTATGTTTAACGAAAAGAATATGAATTATTTCTTAAATGACTACAATATGGTATCATTAGGTATGCTTTATCATGTATTTATTGAAAGATTAAAAAGCGTTACATTAGAAAATGACATTACAATAATGAAAAATAATTGTAAATTGTTATTATCCATCTTATTTAGATTATTAGATTTTGGTAAGTAAATTTTATATTTATCAAAAAAAAAAAAAAATATTAATATTAACACTTTTTTAATTTTTTTTTAAGAAATTTTATTACCATTATTTTTTATAAATAAAATTATAGAAACAATATTAAAAGTCAATTCAGAGAAATTTATAATAGGTAAAACAAAATTATCAAAAGATGAAGTTGAAATATTTGAAAAAGTGGTATTATTGATAGCAAAATATTTTCATTTAGAGCCATATCACAGTTTAATCGAAAGAAATCCAGAGTGGATAGATATGCTTATTAATTACAGTTGTCAACATAGAGTGGGCATTCTAAACAAAGAAATTAGTCTTGGGGAACTTATTTTTGATCATGAAATTTATAACTCACCATTATGTATTGTATACAAAGGTAACTACAATGGAATGGAAGTAGCTGTTAAAGTATTTTCTAATGAGAGTTTGGTTTTTGATTGGACATCAATCTTTAAAGAAGTCACTATTATTTGTGCAACCCAACACCCAAAAGTTGTAAAATGTTATGGTGCCAATACACTTACAAACAAACCATTTATTGTCACCGAATTATGTAGTCGTGGTACTTTATTGCACGCTATTAAAAACGAAAAACCACCCCCATCAATACCTTTATTAATCAATATGGCGATCGATGCTTCTCAGGCTTTAGAGTTTATTCATTCAAAAAATATAATCCATCGTGACGTTAAACCCGATAATTTTTTGGTCAATGATAATTGGGAAGTTAAATTAATCGATTTTGGTGTATCTCGTTTCATGCAATTTCGTTTAAATATGACTTTGGTGGGCACACCTGTATATATGAGCGAAGAAGTGCTCTCTGGTAACCAATATCAACAATCTGCTGACGTATATTCATTTGGAATAGTACTTTGGGAAATGTTCACTCAGAGAATTCCTTTCGATAACATGTCTCGCGTTGAACATTATGTTTTCGTTCAAGGTGGGGGAAGACCACATATTCCCGATACATTACCTCCAAAAATCTCATTCCTAATCCAAAATTGCTGGCAATCAGATGCTGATAGAAGACCAACCTTTAGGGAAATTTTAGATATTTTTTATTCAATTTTAAACCCACCACCAGATAATGACCATTTAGTACCAGTAGTAACTCGTCTTTTAAACTCTCAAATCATTCAATTAAAAGTTTTAAAATATTTGGATACCCCTTCACTATTAAACTGTGGTTTGGCCTCACGTCAACTAAGACATAACCTTTATAATGGTATTACTGTTGAAAAACCCTCATTTAAAGATTATTGGATAAGACTATTATCACTATCAAAATCTAATTTTAGAAATTCAATTGATAAACCATTTAATAACAATAATAATACTATTAGTAATAACAATAATAACAGTCCCTCTATTCATTTAGAAAGCAATACAAGTAGTAGTAGTCAAAATCCTTCAATTATTGGTTCACCAGTATATTGTATTCATCCATTTTCACCATCAGCCCAATCTCCCCAAATTACATCTGAATCCTATCCCCTATCACCATCTTTGGTTATGCCATTCTCTTTTCCAAATAATGTTGAAGTTGATCAAATCGATTTCAATAAGGATAAAATTTCAGATTCAAGCAGTAATAGCAATTTAAACAAAAGTAAAAATAATACAGAACTAAATAACAGCAATATAAATAACAATGGCAATCAAAACAGTGAAAGTAATAATACTAATCATAATGACAACAACATTAATAGTAATACAAAAGACAATATCGAAGTTGTAAATGATTTTGATGATGATAGTATAATAATTAATGGTGATGCAAGTAAGAATCAAATTATTCAGACCCATTTTGAATCAGATTCATCAAATGAAATTTCAGATACAGAAGAAGAAGAACACTCAATTAAAAGATCATATACCCGACTCCCTCAAATTCATGAACCCTCCATTGCTCCATCATTAACACTATCAACCTCTCAAAATGGCACCAATAAACAATTTCAAATTTCACCTGCCATATCTGCAATATCACCTGTTATTAAAGGTAACTCTTCTTCATTTCTATCCCCAATCAGTCTAACAAACAACTCTTATAACAGCTGTAGTATTTATGAAAATACAAGTGCTTGTGATTAAAGTTAAAGTAAAAAAAAAAAAAAAAAAAAAGAACAATAAATAATTAAAATTTTTCTCATTTATAACCCTATTTCTTTTTTTTTAAAAAATATTTGTAACTTTTTTTTGGCGTCTAATGATGTTTTACTACTCATAAATTGAAATTTAATATATTAAAAAGATAAAAATAAACAGTATGTTTTTACTTTTTTAATAGAAAATTTTTTAATGGTAAATTGAATAAAATATAATTTAATAGAGAATTTCTTTTTATAAACAATTAATGTTTTGGTAATATATATTTATAAATATATTGTGATTGATGTTTTTTATCTAATAGGAAAAAGTTTTTTTTTATTAAAATATAAATGAAAAATAAATTATATGAAGCGGGAAATGGGTTGAAAAAATTTAAAAAACTATTGTAATTTTTTAAAAAGGGTATTTTTTATTATATTTCAAAATAATAATAACAAATAAATTAATATAATATTTCTTTTATAATAAAATATGAAATTAAATATAAATAATAATGATAATGTTTTCAATGTTTTATTTATATAGTTTAAACTGTTTTTTATTTATTTTTTATTTAAAAAATAATAAATATTTTTGTTTATAGATAGATAATTATAAATAAAAAAATAAAACTATTCATATAAAATACAAATCTTTTTTTAATAATTATAGAGTCAAAGTTCAAAAATTAATAAAAAAATAAATAATAAAATTAGAATAAAAGTAAATTAAAAATAAATTTTCAATGTTTTTAACTAATATTTTTTAAAAATAGATAATTATTTATTCATCAAATTTAAACTTATAAAGTATTAAACTATATAGAAATATTATTTGAAATTAATTAATCTTTTTTTTTTTAAATCTTTTTTTTACAATTAGCTAGGCATTCAGGATATCATTTAAGAGAGAATTTAATGAAATTTTCAAATCAAAATATAGAATAAATTAAAATTCTTAATTTAAAACTATAAAATCTATACAGCTATATCAAATTAAATAAAAATTTAATAAAAACATTATATTAAACAATTGAATATTTTTTATTTTATTTTTTTTTTTTTAATAATTTTAAAAATTTTTAAATTTCTTTTTTTTTTTTTCATTTTAATTAAAATTAAAGCTTTCATTCACTCACACTCGTTTTTTTACATCCAGCTTTTTTTATACATTAAATCATATAATTTATTTTATTTTTACACTTATATACATTTAATTTTATTTTTATTATTTATTTATTTTTTCAACAAAAATGATTGATATTTTATTAATCTGTATTTTTTTATTTATTGTTGTTGGTACCATTTTTTATTATTGTTTTGGTAAGTTTATTTTCAAGAAAAACGACCGTTGCCATTGCTCTACCATTAAAGGGGAATACTGCCAATACTGTGCCTTTAATGCCGATTACTGGGGAAAGCAATATCACGAAAGTCTATTTCTGGAAGACGATCAAAGATATTATCGTGAAAGACTACATGGATCACAAAATTATGAAAAATTTGCCCTAGAAGAGGAACAATTACAACAAAAACTACAACTATACCAACAACAAATAAAACAACAAAAACAACATGAACTACCATATCAACAACAACTAGAACTAGAACATCAACAGAAACAACAACTACGTCAACAACAACAACTACAAACACAACGACTATACCAGCAACATGAACAAGAACGACAACAACAACAACAATTTCAAAGAATGCAACAAGCACAACTATTTCATCAAATTCAACAACAACATCTACAACAACTTGAACAAAAAAAACAACAAAAGCTACAAATACTACAACAACAAAGACAACAACATTTTTTTAGTAGATTCTTTTAAAATGATTACTTAGAAAAAATTCAATAGTTGATGAAATATTAGTTGTGCCGAAGAAATCTGTATGGATGCTTATTCTAGGTAGTGAGCCAATTAAAAACAAGATAGAATAATATCAACAGAAAATTAAAAATTATTAGTGAAGAGTTCTAATTAGATCGTTCAATTCCGTTTTTTGTCTTCATCCTAAATTTACCAACAATCCAGTTTGCTTTTCCATTCCTAATGTTAATAATATGTAATATATTTAGTTTAATATTTGTTACTGGTAAAGATTTTAATAATATAGTTATTGATCCACGTACTGGTGAATCATTTCAAGTAGTTGTTAGTCATTAATGTGTTAAACCATCTCGTTGTGTTTGCTAAGGTAATTCACCATTCATTGCCACCGTTGGTTCTTAAAGATGAGAGTAAGACATGTTTCATTATGGGTAGTTCAGAAAAAAGAAAAGTATTTGTGTGATTCCAAAAAGACTTTTGAATATTATGATATAGAAGTAGAAATTGATCGTTTATTAAAAGCAACCCCAACATTAAAACAATAATAACACAACATCAGCCTCATCATCACCATCATCATTCAGTTTAAACAATAGTAATAATAATAATTATACAACAACAGTAACATTAGCATTCAGTTTAAAAAATAGTAATAGTAACTATAATTTAAATAGTAGTATTAGTGAATATAGCAATCTAAATAATAATAGTATCAGTTTAGCCCGAAGCGCAAGTTGTAGTTGTAATAGTAATGATAGTAAAAGTAACAACAATACAACAACAGCAGCACCGGATCCTACAACATTCAGTTTACAAAATAGTTATAGTAACTATAATTTAAATAATAGTATTGGTGAATATAGCAATCTAAATAATAATATTATTCCAATCATTTTTTCAAAAGAGTCAATTTAATACCAATCTTAAAGTTTATGGTAGTACAAGTAACTCTGTTCCATGTCAAGATGTTTGTCCATTAGCTGTTATTCCACTTGCTAGTAAAAGTCGTCAACCATTGTTTCATGTATTGAGATTGGAGGTCAATTTAGATTGTGACTTCAAACAAAAAGAAACATCTACAAGTCTTGCTGATCTCCTTAGAATTAGCTCCAGAAAGAATCCATTCAAAATTGTTTGAAACAGTAGAAAACTTGATTTAGCTCTTTTTAATGTTGGCCAGTTAAAATCAGCATATTATCATTTTTTCAACAGTTTATTCAGGGGAAATTGGTTGAACAAGAGTAGGATTAAATGTTAGAAATATTTTGGTAAAAAATAGTTAATTATGTCAACAATCAAAGAAAACAAGTAAAGTATGTTCAATCCACCTTAAGTTCCGGAATATAATTATAATCTTTATAAAATTATAAATACAAGTTTTTATTTTTATTTTTATTTTTATTATTATTTTAAACAAAAAATAAATAAAAATAAATAAAATATTTAAAAAAAAAAAAGAGTTTATTGTATTACTTTTATTTTATTTTGTTTATCTAGGTATAGCATTTTCTTGAGTTAATAAAGATAATGGATAAATATCTTTACCTTTTTCGACATAATTAAACCAAATGGTTGGTTCTTTACCATGTAGGTCTAATGATAAATCTTTTGATTTCTTTCTAACTATAACTATACAAAATGGGTATATTTTGCTAAGGGCTAATTCATGTTCTGTTTTTCACCTTTTGGTCCATGGTGTTCATGTAAATATACACCGATTTTTTCTTGGGCTCTTTTGAAACATATTGTGATTTTGCTTGTGTTTCTGTAGTTGTTGATTTATTTACTTCACAAACATAATCTTCTGCATCTGAAAAAATATCTGAATCTGAATCTGAATCGTCTTGCTAAATGACCTGATATTGTTTCTTTAACTTTTGGACAGTCTTCTTTACTATTCATAATAGTTGTTGGTATTTAATTGAGGAAAAACTGGAGTTCCAAGTCAAATAAATAAAGCATTCTATTGTTTTGAAATATTTCTTTATTGTTTTTAATTTGTTGTTTCTTTTTAATATCATTAGATTTATCAGCTGTAATATTTGCTAATGTTTTTATCATTGATTTTAGTTATTTATTATTTATTATCTGTTATTTATTGCATAAATAAAAAAATTAAAAATAAAATGTAAAAATTCTAAAAAAAAAAAAAAAAAATTAAAAAAATTAAAAAAAAAAATTTTAATTTTAAATTATATTTTATATTTTATCTTTTTAAAAGAAAAAATTATAATTTTAGAATTTTAAATAAACTTATTTTATTAAAGAGTTACATTTTTTTTAAAAAAAAAATAAAAAATTATATACAACATATTTGAAATATTTTTTTATTTATTATATTGATGAACACTAGTTGCTATTATTTTGAAGGAAAGGTTTTTTTTTTGGGATTCTATATAGTTGATATCCGGTGGCAGGTGCAGAATGGTGACTACATAATCTTTTCGTTATCTAAAACTATTCGATGATTATAATAGTTGATTGGCCAGAGCAATGTATTATAACCATCAATTAGTAAATAGAAAATTTCATTAGTGTAGATTTGATTGGTGCAGTCTCGGTACACTGTTTTAATCTTTAAATTATTTGATTTTAAAGAGTTGATATCATCTACTAAAAAATATTTACTTTTAAACTATTTATATTCTAACTAATAATTATATTAATACTAAATTATGAAAAACATTAAATATAATATATTATAAACTTACTTTATAAAAAACCTAAAAAAATATAATACAAAGTGAGTTGTGGGGTGTGGTTTTTGGCATCATTAGTGAAATGGGTTATATGGCAGAGTGGTTTGTTGTAATGAAATCTAAATATTTAAAATAATTATTAATAAATGGTTAAATATTCAAAATAATATAAATACACAAGATATTTTACCTAAATTTAATTGAGTTTACCAGCACAGTTTGAAATGGATGTTTTTTTGTATTAAAGACCAAGTTGTTTTTTATATGATAATAATTATATTGATGTGGGGCCCATTCTCCATCTTTCCCTATTGGATTATGATGATGCACCAGTAGAATCGAATATTGATTCTGGTGCATAGAATTTTGGGTAGTTAGATGAAGCGATGGGTGTAGTATGTGTGAATGTTGGGGATGCGGTGTATATGGTGATCCACTCACCAAGTTCTTCATCAAATTCTTCTATTGATGGCCCCTCAACCATTCCCTCATATGATTGTGTTGGTGCACCAGTACTATTGTATTTGGACTCTGGTGCATAAAAGGTTGGGTAATCGGATGAGGTGGTTGGTGTACTTGGTTGTGGTTGTTGTGTAGAGTTTGCGTATGTTGTTGGTGCGGTGTATATGGTGACCCACTCACCAAGTTCTTCATCAAACTCTTCAATTGATGGCCCCTCAACCATTCCCTCATATGATTGTGTTGGTGCACCAGTACTATTGTATTTTGACTCTGGTGCATAAAATGTTGGATAACCTGATGAGGGGACAGGTGTACTTGGTAGTGATGTTGATTGTGATGTTGATTGTGATTGTGATGGGTAAATTGTGACCCATTGGCCAAGTACTTCATCATATTCTTCAATTGAGGGACCATCAATGAATTGTGGGTGTGTGGATGAAGTAAACATAAACTCTTGTTTTGTTTGTTGTTGTTGTGGTGGTATTGGGGTTTGTGTTGAGATTTGTGTTGATTTTGATTTTGATTTTGATTTTGATTTTGATTTTGATTTTGATTTTGATTTTGATTTTGGTGTTGGTCTTGGGTATGATTTTGAAACTCGTGTTGGTTGTGGTGTTGGATTTAGTTTTGATCTTGCCCTTGATCTTGATTTTAGTTTTGGTGTTGATTGTGGAATTGGTAGTGGTTTTGGTGTTGGTGGTGTAAGTATTGAAGTCGAGGTCGTTCTTGTTCTTGGTCTAGGTCTAAGTTTTGGTCTTGGGGATGGAGTTGATTTTGATTTTGGTACTCTTTTTGGAAATGGGGTTGGTGTTAATTTCTCTCCTCCTGATGCTCTTGATTTTGGTTGTGGACTTTTTGTTGGGGTG